GGGAAAAGGGGGGCCCCCGAGGGGGGGGGGGGGGGGGGGGGTAGGGAAGTAGAGATCCATGACTCCATGGGAGCTGACCTGTGGCTGACTCCCTTCCTAGGCATGGAAGAGCAGGGCCTTGCTAATTGGCATAACTTTTACCCTTTTGTGGGTATGAGTCGTTGACTGTGGCAAGTAACAAACCGAGTCTGCCGTGGGGTTACCCGTCTCCCACTTGGATTTTTTTTTGTTGATCCGTTTTTCAGGTTTAAGCTGTTATGGCGCAATTGTTAAACTTTTTTATTCTATTTTAATTCCACAGGAGTGCAGAAGCTGAAAGTATGGAGATGTAGTTGTTGAAGATCCTCTTCACAAAAAGTATGTGTCTGGCTGTGCCTAGTAAGTTCTTTAGAGGTGAGATCTGGGGCAGGAAAAATACCGATTTGATAATTTATGCGTAGCGATTACTGTGCTGTGACTTGTCTTTTGAAATCAAGGTATCAGCTTGGAGGTTTATTTTAAGGCATGCTACATTTTTACATGTTTTCGGAGCAGAAAGGTATAATCAAGTGCATTAATGTGACTAGGAGGAGTTGGCTTTGGATGTAGACACATTCGAAAATATAATCCACTATCCCTAGCTTAAAGTACACATTGCCAGTACTTTGCCTGCCGAACTAGCAGCATCTGAATGCAGAAATTTCTCCCGGATATTCTGTGCAAGGGGAGTGTCTTTTTCAATAAACATGTGAGTACTAAGAGAAATGTGCAGTTGCAGGAGCCGGTGGAAGTTAATATCAGCAGCTTTACAACTCCTGGGAAAGCATCCTGTTGTTTAGTGATGGTTGCTGTCTTGTTTGTGTTTCGAGTAGCATTATTAAACTGCCTCAAACTTGTTTTTACAGGGGAAAAGCCCTCTTGAAAGAAGATGGGGCTAAATTGCACATGTGAATTCTAGGAGTAGCTGTGACTAAATATGTTAACTTTCATTTAGGGTAGGGTGGATGTGTTTAATCATCTGGAATTGATGCCTTTTGGGAGCAGTAATATTTCTGGTTGTGAGGTAGGGACTAGCGAAAGGTAATTTTAGGCTAGGTCTTAACCTCGATTTTTAAACCAAGTTAAAACTTGGAGCTTTGATGAGAGCTTCTGCATTCCATCTGATCTTGATGAAGAGGGGCTGGAACCCAGCATGCCTCGACTGGTTCTGTACAGACAGACGCAGTTAGGATCTCATTTTGTGCTGGTCCTCTTTTTGGGCTGTCACTAAGCCTTGAGGTACTTCAGCAATGATTTTGGTAGTTGAGTGGCTGTACTGCACCTTCAGGGATGGCACCTCTGCTCTCAAAGTGTGTTAGAAAGGTGGTTGCAGTGAGTGTACCTCTGCTGCAGAAGCTGCAGGTAAGTTTCTGAAGTCTGGAAAAACGGATGTTGAAACTACAGCTTAAATTTTGGTGTCTGTGTGAATGTAAAGCGTTTTAATGTATGAGTAAGTCAATAAAGAGAGATGATTGGCTGCAGGTGTGGTTTCTTTCTTGAAAAACTGCTGATGACTGTGATTAGACCTACACCTGTGGGTCAGGATTACTTACACCTGCCAAATCTGCCTGTTCTGGGGACGCACCTTTTGGGCAGAATCTGTGGTTTCATGTGGCTGATGCATTGTCTGGGAATCGCTCCAGAAGCAGTACAGCTTGAATCAGAGGTAAGTGCTGCAGGGCAGAAACAACAACTTGAAAGAGAGTTGATTGTTGCAGTTGCTGAGGGAATCCATGTTTAAGAAGATTGATGGAGATCCAGTAGATGGTGAATTATTGCACACTCGGACAAGATATTTCACGTAAAATATATCAATAAAAGTAAATGTACTGTCTTAGTGAATACCAGCTTTGCTGGCACAGTCTCTTAAGGAGTATCTTTCAGATAAATTTTCTTTTCTTTTTTTGCAAGTAGTTGGAAACTAAAAAGTTGGAGGGAAAGGGAGGGTTTGAAAGGACTGAGAAACAAAATCTGTGAAGCCAGAACTGAGATGAGCAGCATGCAGTGTAATTGCTGAGGTCGGGATTCCTGCTTGGAGAGAATGGAGCAGAACTGGGGGCTCTAATTGCAGCGTGGACTGGATGTCAGGAAGTGACTTCTGGTGGGGAGATTGAGGAGCTGTCATAGGAAACTTTTCAAGGTTTTTTTTTTTAAGCATATAGTTTTTCTGCCCAAGCGGAAGTACAGGTGAATTGAATGTGTTTTCTGTGGTGCTGTAACAAGTGATAGCACACCTGTTAACTGGTGGTGTGTGATTACTCCTAGCAGCCCTGTCATGTGGCTTTCTGCTCTGCATTCCAAGGTGCTGGCTGCCAAGCCTGGTAGCCAACAATCAGGAGTGTGAGTACTGTGAGTTCCCTCTTCTCCAAAAGCACTGGACTTGTGTAGTAACCTCAGCACTTTAGAAATTGCCACATCTGTTCTGCAGGGCAGTTACTTCTTTATCTTAAATGGGCAAATGCCAGACAAACAAATTTTTATTTTTGGAAGTTGTTTAGGGTTGAGATAAGATCCACATTAAGGAGGCTTTGTGTGTCAGTTGCAGTGATGCTTTGTGCATTGTCTGGGAAATAAAAACTTGGGAAGTTCAGGAGGGCTGCATGTAACTAGAAATCTTCATGGTGCTGGGGAACCTGGAGAGATGACATTTCTTTGGGATTCTTTGGTCATTTCACCTGGTAACAAGTGCCAAGTGTTTTCATGGTGCCACCATTAACACCACTATTGAACAGCTTTAAAAGTGTAGGATGAACTTAGGACAATGAAACTGCTCTGAGTTAAAGCACAGGGAATGGGACAAACTTTTCTCTCAGAGAAAATAGACCTAAGTTTATCTGCTTGTGAGGAAGATGCTTTCAAGAGCCCTCTTTCTTAGGTAAAGCCCACACGAGGTTTACCCAGCTGATGTTCTGCAGCAGCTGCTTGTGCATCTGCCGTATTGATGAGCGTGCAGAGCTTGTAGTCACTGTGGCAGTTTTTATTGAATACTTGTACACCATCAGGCTCACTGAGCAAAAACGAGAACAGCGTAAGATGGAGACTGTTTCATTTCTTGTTAGAAACTGAAAAGGCATGCTCAGCATGGAAACAGTAGTGTGCAACATTTTAAAATCTAACAAAGCACTCTATTAAAAGCAAAAATAACAAAGTACTGAATCTAAACGTTTACTACACTTAGTATGCCGGCTTAGTTCCCCCTCCAAGTATCCCGTTTCTGTGGTGCAGCTATTAGAAGATTAATATTTCCCCTGTATACAAGGCATATATTGCACTAGGTAGCCTGCTTAACCACAAGTCTCAATGGGTCTTGTACAACAAAGCTGGGATGTTACATGCAGGTATATTTTGACAGACTGACTTCCCCTCTAATTAAGGGCTATATAGAAGTAAAAACATAATGGTTTCAAAGTTCACTAGCACAGTGTTTCACATTGGTCTAACAGGAGGTGGTCACGGTACAGTGATTTATGGTGTTTTAAAGTATTTCACACTATTTCAAATAGTGTGGAATTACAGAGAACTAAAATATATATTAAAGCACCTCATGTACTAGTTTAGCACCAGTTACAGTAATTAGTCCTGACCTTTGCAAACCTAAATTTGGGGTCGGAGATATTAAGGGCAAAATGTTCAATCACATGGGCTTCTGCAATATTGTTGCCACTTTGTGTGCAAGTGAGTGGTCTTGGATATATTTGTTACAACACCGGAGAGACACACAGCCGTACAAAAACGAATTATTGCCCACTTAGAGCGTGAATGCAGGCACCCCACTTGTTCACAAAAGACCACACAACACAGTCACAGCCAGTTTGGGGAATAGGAAATGGGTAAGCAGTCACTGGTAGTCACAGTTTGCACAGTCACGATGTGTTGACACTCATCTGCCACACTTGTCACACGCGAGTGTTTCATGGCCCACAGCTTTCAGTTGTGTTTGTATGAGCACAGTTGTTAAGGATGGTTGTGGTACCTGGAGCATGGCCTTGGCCAGGGATTGTGGTGCTGAGCTGTTGTGGCTCCCTCCCCACTGAGTCACTTCCCGGGTGGTTCCCAGACTGATGCCTTTCAGTGTTACACTAAGGTGGCGATTACCTCCTGTGTTCTAGGTTCACTGGACAGTAAGTTGGTTATCAGTGCATTTTTATAATAAGTTGTTAGGGATTTCATAGCACAGGGAACAGTATTTGGAAAAGGAATTTAATGAAATTAAGATGGTCAGTGCTTTAGAAGTTTTTCCTTTGAAATCAGTCTGAACCAGTGTTACAACTAAGCAGGAGAGAGTTGTCTAACTATTACTTTACAGATAACATGGTTTAAGACTTCATAGACCTTTTCAGACAAGTTTTTGCTCAACAACTCCATTGCATGTGTAACTTTGCCTGGTAGGATTGACCGAGGTTCTTTGCACTACTTGAGGAAAGGCCAGCAATGCAAGGATAGGGATGTTTGTTAGTCTGACACTGTACTGACAGCTAGTGGTAAACAGAAAAAGTGAATCCTCCCCAAAATGCTTTATATACTCAAAATTGCAAATTTCAGAAATGTCACAAATGCTTCTTAGGTAAAGTAGACAAGTGGTTGCTCTTGCAGCTGTGCAGGATGTTTGTGGGGAAACTGTCAGTGTAGTGCCTGTTTTGTTTGGGAATGTACTTTAGGGACACTAACCTGTGAGGACATTTACAGACTAGCTGGGGATGTGATTATTGACCATGATTTCCTTTCCTGCATTTAATACGTACTCAAAATTACTTAGCAAGAATCGGGCTACTAATGGTCTCATAAGCTACTGGAACGAGTTAGGTTTAGGGGACTGAGTGTAAAATCATAGGAATAATAGACTAAATAAACTGGACTGGAGATTAATTGAGATCTGTAATTAATTGTAGAGACGCTTGGAGCATAAATAGCTTGGAGCTACAGTCATGTGGGCAGTGAGTCTCAGTGAAGTCCCCAGCTGTCCTGCTCCAGTACTGCTCTAGCTGGCTATCACCTTTCCCCTTAGACACATGGTAACTTGTTCATGCAATATTTAAACTTCTGGAACAGGAAGAACAGTAATCCCTAACTGGAAGGGTTGTGTGTATACAGCTTGGATTTAATAAAAACAAAAACACAGGAATCAGGAAAATGTCTGTTTCCACCCACTGTGGGCCCCAGCTGTGCACAACTGCATGTGCTGTTCAAGTTGTCCTGCTCAAAGTTTTGTTTTCATTATGGACATTCATAGTTTGGTCACACTTTTAATCCAGGGTACGAAAGATGATACTTTTGTGTAGACACCTGGGGAATCTTTGACCCCACAGCCGTAACCCCAGGAGGTCACACCGTACACGACCCAGCTTTCCCCCGGGCGCTCACACATCAGTGGTCCTCCGCTGTCTCCTTGACAGCTGTCAACACGTTTCTGTTCCCGCAGGTTTCCAGCACAGAGCATCCTCCCTGTGAATCTCCTCTTGTAGCGCTCTTCACACACCCTCTTGGGAAGTAAGGGGATGGCAGCTTGTTGTAATGTTCTCGAATAAGCCCGTCCTAAAAAGGAGATCCAAATTACTGTCTCATTACAGTGGTCAGTCTTGGAAACATAGATGTGATTTAATCAATTTTTGCTCTCAGGTCTTCATGCTGCTTTGTCAATTATATACAATTACTTGAAGCAAGACTACTGAAAACATCTCTGCATTCAATATAGTACTAGAATACTGTAGATATTGTAAATGTAAAATGTAGGTGCTTTTTTAAAAAAGTAGCTTTCCTGTGTGTGTTGTCTGGATCTTTGCAAGGCTGGAGTTGGGTTTATTCTGAGCACTTTGTGTCTATGCAGAAGCAATTTTTGGGAATCTCACACAGCTGAGAGTAAAGCAGTAGAAATCCTTCATTTCTGTGTCACAATAGTCTGTGTCAAATCTAGTGTAGCTCAGCCTGAACAGGTGCTGTATCTTCTGGTGGCTTCCAAGTAGAGCATTCAAATGGATCTTTCTAGTTTTTTCCATAGCTTGCATTTCTTTCAGTTGGAAGCATGGGAAATGAGGGCCAGTGTTGGTTTTGGGTTTTTTTAAGTAAAATCATACAACTTGTGAAGTAATTATGATTCATATAGTGAGTGTGAAATGTCAGCTGAGGTACTGCAATGATGTAATTTCTTACCATAAAATGAAGCCAATTACTGCAGTTGTTAATGTTCCCTGAAAGAGATGTCCTAAGTTAGCAGTATTGCAGGACTTTGAGTGAATTATGTAAAAAGGCTAGACAGAGCTAGGCAATGAATTAACAATAGTTTTTAGCAAGAAAGCCACCCTACTTGTCCCTCATTTATTGTAGTACAGTGACCCCAACATCTGTGCACGCAGATTAGTGCTTGTAAAGAGGAGGGGCGGATCCTTGGCCATGCCTTGTCTCCTTGCCAGTTTGAGTGAGTCACTGCAACAAAGGCTCAAGTGTGGTTGCTGTCTTGCACTGCATTCAGCACCACAAAAACATA